ATGTAAGCAGCAAAGAGGTGTTTACTGTGAGCTAGCTTGGTCCCCTGTGCACACAGCAACTGGTGACGCTGATCGGCCCTGAGCCCAGGGTTTGCAGCAGTTTTATACACTCTTTGGGGAAGGCAGGGACTTCACCCACATCATAGCATCTCTTAGCAAATCACATACTGCGGGAAAATCATAAAACAACTCTAAAACTTGATTAGCACAGTCACTGGCGGGAACAAATTGGGTAGGGGTGATTGGCTAGTACAGAGGGGGATTCGTTTGAACTGATTGGTTTAAGCCACGAGGGGTATTCGTGCTGAACTACATGTTTCCCAACACCATAAACTACTGGAAGGGTCATCTGGCATCCCAGGTATTTCCCTGTCTCATGCTGATTGGTGGCTGCTAGGGGGCTGCTATGGATCCCCACCTAGCCTGACTGAGTCAGGGGACACCTGGTGCACCAGATCTCTCCTGTTATTTGTAGATAAACAACTCATCAGGGTGGGTATGTGCCTGGGAGTGCTCTGTGGGTCTTTCCAAGGACGAGGGTCATGCCCCCTTCCTTGGACAGGCTTTGCTCTGAGGTAGAGGCTGGTTTTTCAGCAGGAAGCCCTGGGTTCAATCCTCAGTACTGGAGAAAAGGGGGAGATAAAAGGATAGGAAAGGTGGCACCCAGTCACAAGTAGCAGCCGATCCATTTCTGAGTCTGATGACAGCACAGCGGGAGAAGGAGGGCATTGGAGTAGCTCCTTCAGCCAAACTCAGTCAGCCTCACAGCTCCACAGGAAGAAGGGCTGCAGCACCACCCAGCCCAAACCCGGGGCGGGGGTGGGGGGTGGGTCTTATGAACCTTCAAAAAGGTCAGGCCGGTTGTGGTGGGCACACCTGTAAATCTACCTGCTCAAGAGGCTGTGGAAGGAGGATTGCAATTTGGAGACCAGCCTCAGTAACTTAGCCAGACCCCGTCTCAAAAAAAAAAATTAAGTAGAAAGGGCTAAAGTGTAGCTCAGTGGTAAAGCATCCCTGGGTTCAGTCCCCACTGCCAGAAAGGGCAGGGGAGTGCAGACGCACACAGTGGCTTCAAAATCTGCAGAGGCTTAAGTCCGTTATTGTAAAATAGTGCAGTATTTGCATACAACACACACACACACACACACACACACACACACGCACACGCACACGCGCCTCTGTATACTCTAGATTACTTACCATGCCTGATGTCATGTAAACACTGTGTAAATTGTTGCTATAGTATTGTTTAGGGAATAATGACAAGAAACGGTTGCTACATGTTCAGTACAGATGCAGTTTTTTTTTCCATTATTGATCCAAAGTTACTTGGATGCAGAAACCACAGATATAAAATGCTGACTATACCCATCCTAAAAATCTAACAATTCCATTTCTTGTTGTTATAGATCAGTGACACAGCCATGCATTTACAAGAACACTTA